CTGGCACACCTGCCTCCTACTGTTAACTGACCAGTGGTCAGTTCAGATTGGATAAAGGACTTCAACTGCTGTGGTACATTGGTTTTTGCAGCCCTTTCTTCCTTTCCACAAATGGAACTAAAAAGCATAATTCCTTAATTTTAATATTTATTTTTTTCTTTGGACTGCTAATCATAACTAGAATATAAGAAATGCCATTTTAAAACTCTGAAATTTGGGTTTATTATGATCAAATCTATATAAATAGGATTTTGAATCAAATCTAGCTTTCATTCTCCATCTCCCTTTATCTACGCTGTCTGTATCCTCCGATTTCCTAATTCTCTTTGAATCCTCCTTAGTTATTCCAGATCCACTCTGGATGCGCGGATCATCTAACGTTTCCACAGAGCCATCCTGTCTGACTCTGGAGGTAGCTGTCTAATTCAAGTTGTTATCTCCTTGTACCACATTGCTCCTTGGATTTTGAAAGTGTTTGTAGATTGTAAGACAATTCGTATTTGTTTAGATTTTCCAAAGGTTGAGGGAAATAGCATATTGAAATGCAGCCAGCACCTACCCATATTTTCACTTTGTTTTCCTCTATTCTCGCAAAACAGTAAAAGTGATGTCTTCATGAGCAATTACAAGATGGAAGGAAGAGGAGGACGGGTGTGTGTTCTGCCTGCATTTCACAGTTCCCCATTTTGCTCAGTTGACCCTGGCCCTGTTTTTTGACTTCGTAATATGAGTTTAATTGTGATAAAATAAAGATATACTTTACTGATACAATAGTCCATTCATGTTTTACTTGCAATTTGTAAATAGATAGGGCATGAGAAAATATAAAATAATTTTTCTTTCCCATTACAGATCACATTGTAATTTCTGTAGTATCTCAAGGCTCTTTGTGCAAGCATTCAAAAGTAAGCGTTAAAGAGAGCACTATATGTAGAACTGTGGTGGATATGACTTAGACAGATTCAGAAATTGCCATTGCCAGGTTGTCTACTTTCTGGTCACTGACATTTAGCCTGTGCATGACCTCAATTCTTTTCTGTCTGTGGGCTTTTAGATTATTTAGCTCTAAGAGATGGGAGCTGAAACATGTCTGTTTGAAGTGGACCAGTTCCCTTCTTTATATGTACCAAGACCAAATTATGGAATAGTTTGTATTGCAGAAGTTGAAGATGAAAACTGGAACAGGGCAGTGATAGGTACACGGTACTTAGAATTTTGGAGAAGTGAGGAAAGGAGAGGAATGAGTGAGCCAACCATGTTCCATCTCTCTCGCCCTTAGAACCATAAAAAACAAAGCAAAATAAATTGGGCTATGTATGGCTTTTTAACACCAGTATTTTAGATGGCTCTTCCATTGAATTAGGAAGGCTGAATGGGTTTCTGACCTTATTTGACCCCACCCCTAACCCCAGGTTGGACTTAGTGTTATCCCATAGAGGCTTTATTTTTGTATTAGGGTTATTGAGCTGTGTGATTCCAGGGGTGTACCATGCCACAGAGAACATTATGCTTTCAAGACCCTGGGGAATAACAATGTCTGTAAATTTACCTATGGTGTGTGGGATGTTGGAAGATGAGGAAAGAAGGCATTAGGAGTAAAAGAAAAAAAAAATGGATTTCAGAGGAGACTGATGGTCAAGAAAATACAAACACTCTATTTAGTTCAAAGATTAATCTTCCTTAGACAATGCTGAGTTTGGCCCTTAAAGAGTACTAGTATTTATTATAAAATATTTTTAATCCTCAATACGTTTCCTTTATGAGTTAGGCCTTGATTATGCCTAACTCAACAGAAGTGCTTCTTGCTTAATTGAATGGATTCTCAAAATAACAAAATTTTCAAAGCCCTAAATTCTACAGGGAAATGTAGCTAGAAAATTAGAGGGAGACTAGAAATTAAGAAAAAAAAAATTCATGAAAGCTTTCAATAGAAGAAAGAATTGCACATATTCTCTCCTTTGAAAATGCAAGGAATAGTTTTATCTTTGCGTGAAGTTCTAGGAATAGTAGCGACAGCCAGTACGCCTGCATGGTAAGTTTCAATTTCTCAGATCATGAAACTCAGTAGTGTTCCCTCGTTTCGACTTTAATATTCTGAGTTATAACTTTTAAAGGCTAAATAAAAAGTATTGTCCTTTTGAGTTTCCTTGGTTTTCAATGGTGTTTTGGAATAATGAGCTCCCTTTACACCCCATATCATATGAACAAAGCTGCCCCAAAATGGCTGCCAGGATACTCTTAATGCTTCCTGTCCAGATTTCCCCACCTTATCCAACTGTGTCCTCATGAGAAGAAAAAATGATATCAGCTATATCCTGGATTCAGTAGATGAACCCAGGCAAAGATCTGCAAAGATGGATGCAAAGCAATTGTCACCACTGGTCATTTTGCTGTTCTTTGCATTTTACCTAACTTTGGTCATCTGTATTTACTTGTCCCTTTACCAGAGGCACAAGCACTCTCAGCCAAAAGGAAGGTTGTGGTGTTTGCTGTCCCTGAAATGGAACTGGCTTTGCCCACTGCACACTACAGAGATCACTCACTTCTGCTTTGTGTCTCTGCCTGCCGTTTAGTTAGCTACCACCAATTTGGTGGTTACTCCTTGGTAAAGCCTTTAAGCACTTTTCTAAGCATGGAAAATTCTTAGCTAAACATTTATGAATATATTTTCTAAATGCTGAAGTATTTATAGCTTTAGATATATTTAATTAATAATTATGGTTCATATTAAGAGGAAACACTGGAGCAAAATTTAAAGAAATAGCTCCACCTAGGGACAAGTTAATGCCAACTCCACAATTTCTGCCTTCTTTCTCCTTAATTATCTTGCAACTGTCATCATTTTTTAATTGGAAGGGGGTGTTTTAATCTTTATTCTGAAGTAGTTACTAGGTGTTTCAGTCCTTGGAACTGTGTGCAATCCTACAACCAAGGCCTAGCTTTGAATCGACAACTTTTAGGAGCTCTGCTTCCCAGCATGTCTCATGGTCAGCGATGATGCTGTAACTCATTGTCTTGATTGCACCCGTTTTTCCTCTAAAAATATTATCAAGCTTCAAGTCTCCTTTCTCAGTCTGTTTTCATTCAGGTTACACTCATATAAGATAGAGAGAGGATCCTATTATTTCTTTTCTTCCCCCATCTACCTGAGAACATCGAATTATAATGATACATGTTTTTTTCAATCAAGATGAACTTGCTGTTCTAATTAACTTTTTTTCTTGGCATAGGCTATGTGTAATCCCTTTTTTATTTATAAGGAATAGACTTATAGAATATAATGAAATTCTTGTGTTAAAACCTTGGTTTTATAAGCTATTTTAGCCCACAGTCCAAATCAGTGGTTAAAAATGGGGACCCTCTTACCCCAATTCTGTAGTTCTGGGTTAAAGTACAGAATTCATATTTCCAACAAGAATCCTGGGTGATTCAGACATAGGCAGTTGTTGGTCCACTCTAAGAAATACTTACATGAATTATTATTTGTTTTCCAAGATGGAGTTTTTTAAAACAGTCATTTTAAAGCACAGGTATTTGGATTTAATCACAAAATGAACATGCATTTTTAAAACCTCTTATTTTAACTTCAGACCTAGAGAAGTGTTTCTGCTGATACTTAGAAAAATAAGTGTTATGTAGATTTTTTTGATAATAATACTTGGATGAAAATACATTCTTTCTATTGGAGCAGTTTTATTCTAAAATAACAGTAAAATTTTCTTTTGGGCCTATTTTCAGAAGAAATTCTGTAAATTACTATTTCTTAGTTAAATATGTGGTACCATGGTATTTAGTATAATGATGATCAGTATATAGATGCTGTATATTTTTTGTGTTTTGGCTTAATTTTCTGTGTTTTGGAAAGGAAATTTCATTTCTATCATGTATAGTAAGAAATATATGAATTCAGCACACATTTCCAGCTGATCATTCAAATGACAATTTCCTAAACAGTTGCATGCCTTAGTCCTCTAACTTCTAATGAGTTAAGTGAAGTAAGAGATTCTGTTTTGAAACAATCAAAACTTATGGTTTTGTTTTTGTTTTTCTTTTAATTTTTTTCTTTTTTGTTTTGTTTTATTTTAAAGTGATTTTTTTTTAAAAAACGGAATTAAAATGGAAGGAATTACGGGGAGATCCAGATCAGGTTTTCCTCTCTCTTTTTTTATTTCTTTCTTTCTTTTTTTTTTTTTTCCCCCCGACAGAATCTTACTCTGTCACCCAGACTGTAGTGCAATGTGGCACGATTCTGACACACTGCAACCTTTGCCTCCTAGGTTCAAGCAATTCTCCCATCTCAGCCTCTCGAGTAGCTGGGATTACAGGCACATGCCACCATGCCTGGCTAATTTTTGTATTTTTGGTAGAGATGGCATTTCACCATGTTGGCCAGGCTGTTCTTGAACTCCTACCTCAAGTGATCTGCGCACCTCAGTCTCCCAGGGTGCTGGGATTACAGGTGTGAGTCATTGCGCCTGGCCTCAGGTCAGTTTCAAAAGTTGCAGTGATTCAGAGCCATTTGGTCAGCTTTGGCTTAAACAGGACCACGAAAGTTAACACATTTGTCTTTTTTTGTATACTGTAGACAAAGGTTGAAAAAACACCTCTAAGGAAACTTCCTTCTCCAGTAATCACAGGAGAGGAATAAAGGTTACAGATGACTGTTTCTCTAGGATTTTTAAAAATGCCATGTTATGCAATAACTTCAGAGGTCATGTACATTTTATCTTTTCCTTTCAAAATTATCTTTGCCTCTTGTAACTGTTGATCATACTTTAAAAAAATTTTTTTGAGAAAAACATCACTCTGTCACCCAGGCTGGAGTGCAGTGGTAAAATCCTAGCTCACTGCAGCTTCATGTTGACCATACTTTAAAAAAAAAATTAAATGGATGTTTTCAGGGCATTATTAGCAGTGTCCATAGGGGTATTTCAGATTGATGTCACTGGCTCATGAATGCCTCCATTGTTTTTCTCTCCTTCATTTTTTTTTTTTTTTAGAGTAAAGATGGCAAAAGTCCGCTGCACATGACAGCTGTCCATGGAAGGTTCACACGGTCACAGACCCTTATTCAGAATGGTAAGAGACATGCTTCAGTAGTGTCATTATTTCAATAGTTTCTTGTTGTGAATTTGGCTGTCAGTCACCTGGATATGAAAGCTGATGCTGTTTTGGAGTTTTAGTAAGTGTGGAATTACATAGTTCTTTGATGTACTTTGCTAAAAGCTGCTCATCAGACGTGTCATCAACATCCACCTTAGTAGTAAAAACATAAAGCCATAGTTTCACAGTCAATTTGGAATCAGGCACAGAGCATGAGCGTTGAAATTGGAAATGATATATTTATATAGGCTCAAGATTCTGTGCTTTTCACTCTGAAACTAATCAAAGTAAGTAGCATTCATTTTCTAGCAACAAATCTGAATTATTTTTAAATTTTAGAGTTCACTATAGTTTCCTAAGATAAAACTTATTAAGCTAATTGGGCAAAAGTAGGAAAAATGAGATGACTCAGAGGAAAAGCAGGTAAGGATGTGATATAAAATCATAAAATCACAGGCTTAGGATGGGTGTGGTGGCTGATGCCTATAATCCCAGGCACTTTGGGAGGCCGAGGTGGGTGGATCAGCTGAGGTCAAGCATTTAAGACCAGCTTGGCCAACATGGTGAAACCTTGTCTCTACTAAAAATACAAAATTTAGTCGAGACTGGTGGCAGGATGCCTGTAATCCCAGCTACTTGGGAGGCTGAGGCAGGAGAATCGCTTGAACTTGGGAAGAGGAGGTTGCAGTGAGTGAGATCGTGCTCTAGCCTGGGTGACAGAGTGAGATTTTGTATCAAAAAAAAAAAATTCACAGCTTGACAAAAAACCTGGGAAAGTCACATAATATAATAATTTTCATTTCACGACAAAGGTATACTTGAACCATCAGGTTATCACTGAAGCCAAAGTACTAGGGAGTTCAGTCTACATCTTAGTTCATGTAACTCATAGGGGGTCATGGCCAGCAGCATCTGTGAGTGGGTTGACTTTGACAACACAACTTCTGTTAGCAAATTTTAGAGAGGATTTAAAAAAAAAACAAAAACCAGGTTTAGTTCAGATTTTAAGCTGACATTCCAGGTCAATCCAGCCGTTCCTATTTTTAGTTGACCCACATTTCTACTTCTCAAAAGTTTGATATTAGTCAGTTTCCTTGGAATTGTATTTTTCTCATCTGTAAGAATTTCGGACCACATACACTTGAATTACCAGTGGCACTGAGTTATGTCTTAGGCACTCAAGACATAAAACAAAGAAGTCACTTGACATTTGGCTGGAAGACCAGCCAGTGGAATTATGCTTAGGAAGCAAAATATCTGCAGCAAAGCCAAGGAAATTTATAAGCATTCCGGTGAAGCTGTAGGGGAAGAGAAATCCTAACACGTTTCCAGTGAGCCAAGGAAGGTAAAACGGAAATTCACTGTGCAATACCATTATTTCTAATTTGAAACATGTGCTGTGTCGTTGACACTCATTTTATTGAAAAGGCCGCTGGGTTTTATTTTGCTGAATGTAAATATAGGGGGTAGGGGGCAGTGACCCTAGTCTCTTTCGAGCACGTCTCTTATGCCACTGTATTTCTCAACCATTTTTCAGAAATAATGTCCACCCCCTTAAAAAGGCAAACAAAACTTTCAAAACAAAACTTTTAGAAACAAACAAAACTTAAACGGCTTTGGTTCCCTTTTAGAGCAACTTGAAGCTCCAGAGACAAGGCTGGAGGGAGAATAATCTTTCGAGTTCTGGGCACTGCCTTCCTGCAGGTTTATCTCTGTGTGTCAGGCCATGCTGTTCATCTCCATGATGCATCTCCCCTCTGTCCTGCTAGCATGCCCACAATAGGCCCAGGGGACTGCAGCTTCGGCCTCTCCAAGAGCCATGTGGGCTGGAAGACTTCTGTGCCCTGCCTGGATATTCTTGCTAGACTTTTTTTTTTTTTTGAGACAGTCTTGCTCTGCTGCTCAGGCTGGGGTGAGATGGGTGATCTTGGCTCACTGCAACATCTGCCTCCCAGGTTCAAGCGATTCTTGTGCCTCCGCCTCCCAAGTAGCTGTGACTACAGGTGTGCCACCATGCCCAGCTAATATTTGTATTTTTAGTAGAGACGGGGTTTTGCCATGTTGGCCAGGCTGGTCTTGACTGCCTGGCCTCAAGTAATCCGCCTACCTTGGCCTCCCAAAATGCTGAGATAACCGGTGTGAGCCACTGCGCCCTGCCGTTTCTAGATTTTTGAGTTGGGGAAGGCCTAAAAGAGATCCCGTCTTTCATCCTCTGTGATCAGGGGATCTTTGTTTCAGAGCTTCTCTGATTCTTGGTTGTCCTGGCATCTTGCTTATGGGTTGGGTGAGGTCCAGGGGCCTGAACTGATAAGGATATAGTGGCTATAATATATAGCCTATTATGTATAATGATAAAGCTAAGTGCTAATGATAAAGACAAGTGTTCACAGTGTGCCAGGCACTTGGCTAAATACCCCTTATAAAGCCTTTCAACCACCCTATGAGAAAGAGGTACTATTATTATCTCCATTTCAAAGATGGGGAAACTGGGCAGAGAGGTTGTCACTTGTGTCTGGATACAGGGCCAGTATGTTGAGGAACAGGGATCTGAACACAGGTTGTCTGACAATAGAGACTGAACTCTCAACCACCACGCTTATAAACATGATCTTCAGAAACCAATGGTGTTAAAAAAGAATTCCTTTGAAAATTGAATTCCATTTACTGTAAGACTCACTTATATTTGAAATAGAGTTGTCCTGGTAAAAGGATGCTTTGGTATTCTCTTTTCTCAACTGACAGTTTTTTTGCATTCATAACACATGTGAAAACTGTGAATTCTTCCATTTGACCTTTTTTTAATGCCCTTGGGGAAAAGAAAAGGAAGTTCTTTTTTTTACCTACTGTTTGTTGGCTTCCTTCTGGGAAGAATCTTGGGCTGTTGCTGGGACCCTCCCTCTCCAGAGGCTTATGCCACTAGGGTCTGGTATCAGTCCCCCCAGAGTGGGGCATAACCCAGCAGGAGCCCCTCTGTCCTCCAGGACCACATGGGCACAACATTTGGCTCCCTGAAGCAACTAAACGTGCTACTGAGGAATGCTCTTTGTATTTATTTGTTTTCTTTTTTTTAAATTATTTATTTATTTTACTTTGGGTGCATACTATATCTGGCATTTCTCCCCATGTTCTCCCTCCCTACCCTACCCTCCCTCCCCACCTCCCATTGTCTCTCCCCTATCCCCCGCAACTGTCCCCTGTGTGTGAAGCTCCTCTCCCTGAGTCCACATGTTCTCATTGTTCAACACCACCTATGAGTGAGAACATATGGTGCTTGGCTTTCTGTTCCTGGGTCAGTTTGCTGAGAATGATGGTTTCCAGATTCATCCAAGTCCCTACAAAGGACATGAACTTATCATTTTTTATGGCTGCATAGTATTCCATGATGTATATGTACCACATTTTCTTTGTCCAGTCTATCATTGATGGGCATTTGGATTGGTTCCAGGTCTTTGCTATTGTACACAGGGCTGCAGTGAACATGCATGTGCATGTGTCTTTATAGTAGAACGATTTATAGTTCTTTGGGTATATACCCAATAGTGGGATTGCTGGGTCAAATGGAATTTCTATTTCTAGATCCTTGAGAAATAGCCACACTGTCTTCCACAATGGTTGAACTAATTTACACTCCCACCAATTGTGTAAGAGTGTTCCTGTTTATCCACATCCTCTCCAGCATCTGTTGTCTCCAGATTTTTAAATGATTGCCATTCTAACTGGCATGAGATAATATCTCAGTGTGGTTTTGATTTGCATTTCAATAATGACTGGTGATGATGAGCATTTTTTCATATATTTGTTGGCCTCATATATGTCTTCTTTTGTAAAGTGTCTGTTCATATCCGTCACCCACTTTTGAATGGGTTTGTTTTTTTCTTGTATGTCTGTTTTAGTTCTTTGTAGATTCTGGATATTAGCCGTTTGTCAGATGGGTAGATTGCAAAAATTTTTTCCCATTCTGTTGGTTGCCAATTCACTCTAATGATGGTTTCTTTTGATGTACAGAAGCTCTGGAGTTTAATTAGATCCCATTTGTCTATTCTGGCTTTTATTGCCATTGCTTTTGGTGTTTTAGTCATGAAGTCCTTGCCTATGCCTATGTCCTGGATGGTTTTGCTTACGTTTTCTTCTAGTGTTTTTATGGTGTTAGGTTTTATGTTTAAATCTTTGATCAATCTGGAGTTAATTTTAGTGTAAGGTGACAGGTAGGGGTCCAGTTTTTGCTTTCTGCACATTGCTAGCCAGTTTTCCCAACACCATTTATTAAACATGGAGTCCTTTCCTCATTGCTTGTTTTTGCTGGGTTTGTCAAAGATCAGATGGTTGTAGATGTGTGGTGTTTCTTCTGGGGTCTCTGTTCTGTTCCGTTGGTCTATGTCTCTGTTTTGGTACCAGTACTATGCTGTTTTGATTGCTGTAGCCTTGTAGTATAGTTTGAAGTCTGGCAGTGTGATGCCTCCAGCTTTGTTCTTTTTGCTTAGGATTGTCTTGGCTATGCAGGGTCTCTTGTGATTCCATATGAAGTTTAAAGTGGTTTTTTCCAGTTCTGTGAAGAAGGTCATTGGTAGCTTGATGGGGATAGCATTGAATCTATAGATTACTTTGGGCAGTATGGCCATTTTTACAATATTGATTCTCCTAACCATGAGCATGGAATGTTTCTCCATCTGTTTGTGTCCTCTCTTATTTCATTCAGCAGTGGTTTGTAGTTCCCCTGGAAGAGGTCCTTTACATCCTTTGTTAGTTGTATTCCAAGGTATTTTATTCTCTTTGTAGCAATTGTGAATGGGTGTTTGCTCTTGATTTGGCTCTCTGTTTGTCTGTTATTGGTATATAGGAATGCTTGTGATTTTTGCACATTGATTTTGTATCCTGGGACTTTGCTGAAGTTGCTTATCAGTTTGAGAAGATTTTGGGCTGAGACGATGGGGTCTTCTAGATATACAATCATATCATCTGCAAATAGAGACAGTTTG